ACTGTAAATCAACAGTAAATAATATATTCACCTCTGTCCAACTACATATGATTATTCTATTTGGATTCTATCTGCTCAGAATAGTAACCTACAAGATTGATTCTTGATTTTTTGAATGTGTTCTGATTTGAAAAATCAGAATAACATTCTTTTTTGTATCATAACATTCAGAATATATTAAGCTCCTAAGTTTTCTTTTCCTCCTGAATGCTGGGATTTTCTAGAACATGGTGGAATTTCAATTTATCAATATGCTACAGATAGAAATAATTACTATTTCAAAATACAATATTTAAGCAAATTAACATTGTCTGTTAACATGTAAGTCATTTTCTCCCAAGTTCTCTATTCGATTTCTGATTTCGACTGGCATGTATTTTTGTTAGTTTTGGGGTAAGACATAATCACCCTTATCTCTGAGTTTCTATCTCCGAAGATGCATGGATTAAACAAGGTACTTAGTCCATGGCAGTTCAGGTCAAGCTGTACATTATGTGAGAACATAATGGCCCCAAGCTTCTATCAGTAACTTGTTTTTTTTCCCCAGCAAAGCAATAACAATTCTCCCAGTGACTCTGCCACACATATTTGTTAGAATTGAAATTACACAGCCGGCAGTCACGAAATGGTGGCAGGATGGCAAAGGTTGTACACATGATTTACATACTGTTTATTATAGCACTTCTTAAAAAATGCCAAGTGTTGGAAAATACTGATAGGTACATGACACTACAGTTAATATAGCAGAGCAGTTACTTCTTGCCTTAGGGTCAAGAGGATGGATTTACTAAGATTCAAATTTATTTTAATCAGACTGTGGAAAGAAAAATAACAAAAGCTTTTAAACACAGCAAATTAAACACTGTGTGCTTGGGGGCTGAGACTGGTTGTCATTCTAGTGCTCTTTCAAGCTGGTTTTAGATTGTATTTAATGTTGTTTTGAGTGAGGACTAAGAGACTGGCTCTCAAGGGCAGTGTGTCAGGTCCAATTTAACTTTAGCTATTTCATGTCGGTTCCAGTAAGGAACCCATCAAATAATCACCAAAACAAGGGACTCCGAATCTGATGGGCTTGCACTCATTATATGAGATGTGTCAAAAAAGTCACTACCTATCTATGTGTTAAGTTTATCCAACAAGAACATAAACATGGTATGCTGTTCTACTACTTAATGGGATGTCTTGCTGCTTATTTGCTTTGCTCTGCATAGTCGTTCTCTGCCCTTTTCTCCAAGTAGACTGTCCCTTGCTCTTTGGCTTATGATCGGATTCGGTCAATAGGAGGCACGAGGGCATCAGAAGGCGGGAGGAGAGAGGTTAGGATGTTTATTCTTCTGCTCCTGCCATGCCTCTTGACTCTGCCGGTACTATTCCTTGGACTTTTCCTTCAGGACCGATGGTGGTAAGGGCTTCCCTCTGTTGCTGCTACCCAAGTACCTCCCCAGACATTGCATTCCCTTAATCTTGCCCTCTCCTTTGTAAATAGTCCCGGAATTAACTTCTCTTCAGTATAACTCTATTGAGTAGAATCTATTTGCCAGCTGGACCCTGATACAAATACAAAAGCCATTGAGACTTCTATTTTATGACCTTCTAAACAATTAAAATTACTCATCATTGATCCCTAAAGTGATAGTTACCTACTCAGTATTTTTAAATTAATTTCCTAAAATTTATTTAATTAGTTCAGTCTCAAAGTGACTCAGAAAATGTTAAGAATAAATGTAAGAATAACAATATTCCGCATTTCACCGTGGTTTAGATCCTTTGGCATAAAACGTGTGGGTGGTGATTTTATCACCTGTTTGTTTTGCTTTGTTACTTTTCCTATCTCAAACAAGGAGGCAGGGGCATGCAGGAAAAATAATCAACTAAAATCCTATGAGTCTTCAAAAAGATAATCCAGGACATAAAAACATGAAGTAACTAATCTTTCTGAAAGACATAAATTCAGCAGTTCCCAAATACATTCCAAAAAAAAAACCCTACTGGAGTATTTAATGTTCCTGTAACAAAGCTACGTCTTTTGTAGGTAAATTTTGAACATGTATTACAGGAAAACAAAAGTGAACACTAAAAATTCATTCCATTTCTCTCACGTGTAGCACAGTGTCTCAATTAGGAAAGCTGAGGATTATTAGTTGATTTAAAGTTATTTAAAAGTTCATAGATTTATTCCTTCTATCACTTTATTTATCTCTTCTACTCTTTTGTTTTATATTATTTTATCTCCACATTACTTTTATTAGTCCCATCTTCCTAGTTTCTTTTGGTTTAATTCAGCCCTTTTTAAGGTTTCCCCAAAATGAGTACAACATTCCTTTACCTTGTCTTCGTTTTTAATAATAAAGTTAAGATTTATTCTGAAAGTAATTTTTTCCCCATACCCCTATGTTTTCATTATAAAATACTGCTACATTATTTGCTTTTTAAATAGTATGTAATTTTCTGTTTTATTGCTATTTTGATTCAGTAGATCTAAATGCATGTTTCTTAATTTTAATGTGAATATATTTTATCATTTTATTTACCTTTAATTTTACTGGATTATTATTAAAGAATGTGACCTTTCTACACTTTTCAATTTTTGGGGTTCTCTTTACTGCCCCACAGCTGATCAAGGTTTATAAATATTCCCTGGACAGGGCGCCTGGGTGGCTCAGTTGATTAAGCGACTGTCTTCAGCTCAGGTCATGATCCCAGGGTCCTGGGATCGAGCCCCGTGTCGGGCTCCCTGCTCTGCGGGGAGCCTGCTTCTCCCTCTCCCACTCCCCCTGCTTGTGTTCCCTCTCTCGCTGTGTCTCTCTCTGTCAAATAAATAAATAAAATCTTTTAAATAAATAAATAAATAAATAAATATTCCCTGGACATATATAACAAATATATATTATAATTCAGTGGATTTAACTTTCTAGATACATTTATTACATTGGTTTGTTAATTATTTATTCCAACTTATGCATCTTTTTCTTCCAGTAATCTGTCTGATTCTGAGACATGTGCATTATTGGCATGTTCGCAATAGTATTTTTTATCAATTTCTCCTTTCATTCTTAATAATTTTTGTTTTAATATCCAGACACTATTTTGTTTGGTGCATCATGTTTACTTCGTTAGTATGAGTGTATTGCATCTTTATAAGCCAAGACATTTTCACTTAGATAACTCCTCTTTGACCCTGCTTAGGGCTTCTGCATTAAACTCCACTTCATCTCACAAATTCTTCCCGATCCCAGTTTGTGTTTGTTGTATTTGCTGTTGCTACTTTGCTCTTTAACTTCAACATTTATTTCATTAATGTAAGTGTGTCCCTTATAAACATCACATAATTATTTTATCTTTGCTTATTACAAACTTGAATTTTTATTCTTTTCAAAGAATTCAGTGCGCTCAACTGTAGTGTGTTAGTTCTGTAGTGTAGTGTGTTCATCCCTTCTATATTAACTGGTTTGCCTCTTATTTTACATTTTCCTTCTTTTTTCTGCACCTTCTGGGTATTGAAGGTTATCCTCTCTCCTAAACTCACAATAGAATATGTTTCTCTATTATTATATGAAAAATGTGATCTAATATCACCTCCTCTCTCAAGACACACTATTTTATCTCTGCTTTCCTTACTTGAACAAAGTAAGTACATGTGTCTCAAATATTAATTAAATATAATTCTAACTGCAACCACCCCTATAAGGGAGATACATTTATTGACTCTGAGAGAGAAATAATAATTCTACATTTTGAAATATAAAATACAGAGGACAAGGATGCTACAAATCATGCATCTTATTTTAGGAGTTTTATTGAGGGGACGCCTATGGGTTTAAATACATCTAGATATTTGTGATGATGCTTTCCTAAGAGTAGTGGTACTACAAAAATTGTAGAGAAAGTGAACTAATGTGTAAATTTAATGGTTTCAAGATCAGAATGTTATCTTATTCTTGTATCTTTCTTTTAAATAACAAACCTTGGTGGGTATTCAAGGAAATTTTATATATATATATTTTTTAATTTTTTTATTTTATTTTATTTATTTATTGAGAGAGAATGATAGAGAGTGAGCACACGAGAGGGGGAGGGTCAGAGGGAGAAGCAGACTCCCCGCTGAGCAGGGAGCCCGATGCGGGACTCGATCCTGGGACTCCAGGACCACGACCTGAGCCGAAGGCAGTCGCTCAACCAACTGAGCCACCCAGGCGCCCGGAAATTTTATATTTTTAAATGAAGAAATAAAATGCTCCAGTGATTTCTGATGCAGAAATTGCCAGGGTGACATATGTTTTAATGATTTAGTTTTTGGCTTTTTGTGGTATCTTATTAAACTAAGTCAAGAGAATTTTATGATTTATTAAAGTGAAGCTCATTTCAATTCATAGCACTTTTATTCCTAAGCCTCAACCACTATGGTTGAAAAATATGTAATTAGGAGGAGATGAAGAAATTTTTAAATATTCTGCTGAGGTTAATATGCAATGCAAGATGGCCACATATAGAAATATAAGGGGTTATTGCATAGTACTATAGCATAATACTAAGTATTTAGTACTGCATATATTATATTGAGTTTTTCTATTTTGTTATATAATTGTCATACTGTTTAAGATCTCTACCAAAAATGATCTGTATAAGTAATGCATTCACAGTTAATTTTAAAGCAGACACTGTATTGATTAAAGAAATATATGGTGAGTTCATTCAATGTGATAGTCTAGATAGATGCCAAAAAGGATATCAGAGAATTGGTGAGAATCACCACTATGTCAGTAATTGGTTAAGAAATCTAGATGCCAATTATTGATTTAAGAGAGCTTGTAATCTAACCTCACGTGAGTTGGGGTGGGGTAATGTGGGAAGGAACTAGAAGAGAGTGGAGTGAAATGGATAAAACAAGTATAAACATAGGCTGAGGTCCTATTAGATATGACTCACTGTGTTAATTATATGAGAATAAAGAATACTCTTATATTTTAATTGTCTTCAAGCGTAATTATCATTTGACTTACTTTCACCTGTTGAATAATCCTGTGGGTCAAGTATTCCTGATTCCTGCAGTGATCTAATACAGGAGTCCACCAGCTCAAGACCTGTTGTAAGTTCGTCTTCGATGTCTTTTTGACCATCTGAAATACAATATTTTCAAGTGATGAATAAACACATGATATTGTTATTATTAAAGCTTTAGGCTACTCTTTAATAATGAAAAGTGTCCTAACCAAAGACATTAAGTCCATGAAGTTCTCATTAGATTTCATATTGTAATTCTTGGTCAACCAGTAGCAAAAGCCAAGGCCAGCCAATTCCATGTATCCATGAAAATCATAAAAGTTTCTAGGGAATTGAGAGAACTTAACTCTCAGGAAATCATGAGCTATCACAACATCATTTAATTTTAGTGTTGTGGTCTTATCGTGTCCGTTTTTATCGGTGTTTTTTTTAAAGTTCACAAAGAAATTAATCAATAAAGACACAATGTAGAAATAAGTGTAAGTTTCATCAAGAAGTTGTACCTTACCTTGTGATTGCCAGTGAAACTGCTCTTCTGCTGAACTATAAAAAAGAGAATACACAGGTGTAATGCACTGACTGAAACCAAGGACCCTAGACTATAAGACACAGAGGTGCGTTAGAGTAGTAACGCACTATGGGCTCCATGTTGTGTCTTATTTTTATTTATTTATTTATTTAATTTATTTATTTTTACTGAGAAAAGAGATTCTGTTCTGATGCAATCTTAACTTTAATCCATTTGATGTATATCTCTTTTGAATCACAGGTACTCGTGTGTTATAAATGGACACTCTTCTGTAATTTTCAGAGAATAGTTTTGTTTTGTTTTTTTACAAAGCCCAACCTATTATACTCATCCCTTACGACAGCTTCTACATGGATGCGGGTGTACCCAATTTTAGTTATTTTAAAATATGAGGCTGACTAGTTTCATGTAGACTTTGTCAGGTCGTCTGGGAAAGATATAACCTCCTTTTTCATTATAAAGAAGATACACTACATCTATACCTTCTTCCAGACATTATCACATGAGCAGTTCCTGTCAGTTGATTACTAGTTTAAATTAAATAATTTAAAAATTGTAACACTTTACCACCAATTGGATATACAGTTCCCAAATTCTCCCTTTACAAATACATTTTATAAGATGACCTAGGTAGGAAGGGCAGTCCTTACACAGGATATGCCAAAGATACTGCACAGATTTCATCTATGGAGGCAACATAGGTAACTTTTGAACAATTTATTAAATAGATACATAAATTTAAAATTTCTAAACATGCATAACTCTTTCATTATATATGCAAATACTTTCTACATGCCCCCTTTTTATAGGTCAATAATTGGTAAGAAATCTAGATGCCAATTACTGACAGGTATCATTTTGAGAATGATTTTCTACACTTATTTCACTAAAGCCTCTACTCTGATCAAGCAGCTTCTATGAATAGCTCATCAGTTGCACAACAGCAAGTGGATTTTAGACCTTTAATCTGTACTTCAGAGATGGCTTCTGAATACATTTACAGAGGAACAAGGAAAAGGGAATCCTGGTATAAATCAGTGTTCAAAAAAGCTATGATTGATATACACGAACACAAGGATAGTCCTTTAAGGGACATGTGACTTTTACAGGGTATCTTGCTCCTCAACCCATCCACTTTAGCAAACTGGGAAATGTGTTCACAATGGTGAAAACTATAGACAGAATTGATACGTGAAATGGTAACTTTACAAATTCAATCCAACGCAACTTTTTCTTGTATCAAAAAGGTATGTGCTATATAGTGGTAATAGAGAACTACAAAGTTTCACACTTAAAACAGAAATGTAATCCTAAAGTCAATGTTTTAAGAATTGCATGCATGGTCAGTTAGTAAGTGGCATTTTAAATGGGAATAAAAAATGCTTTCATATTTATAGTAGGTTGAATGGTGCCCCTCACCCCCAAAAGATATGATCACATTAAATCTCTAGAAACTGTGTGCAGCTACTTATTGGAAGAAACATTTTTGTAGATGTAATTAAGTTAAAGGTCTTCAGATGAGATCATCTGAACTGTCCTTCTAAGAAACAGAAATGGAGAAAGACAGAGAAGAGAAGGTTATAGGAAAGTGGAAACAGAAATTGGAGTCCTGCATGTATAAGCCAAGAAATGCCTGGAGCCATCAAAGAATTTCTAGAGCCATCAGAACCTGGAAGAAATAAGAAATGATCCCCTCCCTTCCCCCCGAATCTTCATAGGGAACACAGCCCTGCTACACCTTGATTTTGAACTTCCGGACTCCAACACTGTGGGAGACTACATTTTTTGTTTTGTTTTAAGCCACTCAGCTGTGGTAATTTGTTATGGCAGCCCCAGGAGACTGATAACAGTATTTTTCTGATACAGTACAAATGCTCTCCTTACACCCCCCAGGATTTACAACTATCTCTCAGCTGCTACATCCCTTTGGCCAGTACAGCCCTTCTCTAAGTACTTACTGTATACCTTGGCTCCGCTAATTCCTGTCAACCACAATGCTCTTTTGATAGATGGCGAATAAAGGGTTATAGGTGTTAAATATCTTGACCACACAGATCCTAAGGAGCTCAACAACGACTTAAACTAACCTGTCCCACTCCACAGCTCCTATTCCTCGCTCACAATAAAAAGTCATGGAGGGGAACACCCTCAAGTGACTTCCCACCTGAAGCAGTAAGAGGAAGTCGATGGAGGCCCTCGCTACTCCTCTCCTCACAGGCACACTGTAGAGCACACTTCACACCCCCGTGCACACAGATGGGACCATGTAAAGCCTATGACAGGAAGTGACAAGTGCCACTTCCTGCCCCAGGCACAGAAGGGCAGGCATGCAATCCTCATGCTCTCTTTCTGTCCTAACCCCCCTGCGATGGGTCCCTGAGTAGGAGGGAGGAAGATTTCTGCCAGCCCCGAGAAGACACAGCATGAGTGAGAAATAAAGCCCTGTTGTGTGAAAACTCTGGAGCTGGAGGGAGGTTTGTTTCCGTAGAATAAATGTCACACTGAGGAATACAGAAATGTGTCAGTATTTGAGGTTGTAAGGTGTTTCTTGCTTCTCTGCCTTCCATTTCCACAGCGTTGCGTGGGGAGAAAATGTCTGGGGTCACTCTCACACAAATAAGGTGCTGTGACAGCTTTTACTCACCCTGTGAGATGTATCTGCTCATCTACAATAATGGGCGATTTTATGTGTATGGCTACGCCTCCCAGTTTTATATAATATTTACTTTTTGCTCATCTCTTTCAAAAGTGTTTCGATCTTGTGATGCAACAGAAACAAGAAGAGACGTTTTGTATTGCAGTTGAAAGAATACCATTCTCAGTGCATATGACGAACAATCCTCTCAAAGCACAGGAACCTTCCTTTTGGACAGATAAAGAGCATTAATCATTTAAAAGGTTTCCTGATGCCTTTAGCACAGTTAAAATGCATTAAAAGTATGACTGATCACAGAAAATAGAAGTCCCAAGAGAAACTTGGTTTAGATTTTATTTCCACTAAGTGCACACTTTACTTGCTCTGTTAGGGGATTTTATGCAATTGTATATCTTATACACTTGATTCCTTCTTTTAAAACTGCTTTTGGGCAGATGCTTTTTTTAAAGAAGCAAACAAACTATTTATTCATCCAATAAACACAGATTATGCCTATATCCCACACATTCTTATTTCAGCTGTTTAGGAATTACTCATGGTGAACTTTCTCCCAATTATATCGTTCAACTTAGTATAATATAAAAGTTATTTCTGAAGCAGTTGTAACTCCCATGCATGTTAAATTTTAGAAAATAAAGTTTGTTTTACCACCAAAATGCTGTTTCTTGAAATACAAGTAATCTGTAAAGAATTAAATTTAATAAAATAGAGATGTAATTTAGAGTAGTCAGTATGTATTTAAACATAACTATGTACAAGTTCCAGAGCCCAATTATTATGAGCAAAATAACAAAGACTACCTAACATTTAACTTTTAAACATATAGATAAATATGTATATAAATCAGTAGTGCTAGGAAACAGTTTTTAAAACAATATATTAAAAGCACAAATCCTGGGGCACCTGGGTGGCTCAGTTGGTTAAACATCTGTTTTCAGCTCAGGTCATAATCCTGGGGTACTGAGACTGAGCCCCACTTCGGGCTCCCCGTTCAACAGGGAGTCTGCTTCTCCCTCTCCCTCTGCCTCTCTCCCCCACTCGTGCTCTCTCACTTGCTCTCTCTCTCAGTAAATAAATAAAATATTGATTTTTTAAAAGCACAAATCCCAATAGGTAACACTTAGATAGTTCTCACTTTAAACCAGACAATATTCTAACTGATTTATAGTTAACTTTCATGACAACAGCTTTGAGATAGGTACTGTTTTCCCATTTTACAGATAATGAAACTGAGGTAAAATGTTCAAGAACTTGCTGGAGGTCCCACCTCCAGCAAACAGTGGAGGCAGGATTATGACCCTGGGTATCCTGTTCTAGAGGCTGCATTCCACACATGTGGTGACATAAAAATTAAACTCCTATGTGATAAAAACAAAAACATAAACACAAAACCATAAACCAAGTTGAAAAAACAAGCCATGTCCTGGGAGAAGATATTTGCAAGGCATATAACTTAAAAGGGTTAGCTTCTGGAACATTAAAATAACTCCTACAAATCATTTTAAGATAAAGATTAAAAGGTCAAATAGAAAAGAGGTCAATGAATATATATATCGCTGATGCACAGAAGAAAAAAAAATCAAGAATGGATGGTCACTGAACATACTAAAAGATACTCAAATCTATCAGCCATTGAAAGAATATAAACTAAACACAAGGCAGTTCTTTATATTCCACAGGCTGTCAAACAACTAGGAAGTCTGACAGTATTTTGTGTTGGAGAGGAGGTGGGGAAATAAGAAACTCTCATACATTGTATATGAAAGAGTAAAGCAGAGACTTGGGTGAGCAATGAGGCAAAATTTGGTAATGTTTTATATGCAGATGCCCAATCACTCAGTAATTTTGCTTGTAGGCAGAGCTTCTAGGGAAACCTGCACACCTACGCTCGGGACACCTGGACAAGACTGTTCATGCCCACATGTTAGCAGTAGCAAGACCGTGGCAACAACCTACGAGATCAGTAATAGGGAATGGACAAATATAATAATGTGATTGCGTACATATATATGGGGTCAACACTATTCAGCAGTTAAAATAAATTAGCCAAATACATAATGTATCAACATAGGTAGTTCTCAAAAGCAAAATATAGAGTGGAAAATGCAAATTTCACATATGTATTGCCTGATCCCAATTATGTGAATTTTAAAAACACTGACTAAACAATATTATGTATATGTACACATATGTATTCACACATGTATATACACACAAAGGTTACTTTTTAGTTTAAACTAGTTTTACATTTATCTATCTATCTATCTATCTATCTATCTATCTACCTACCTACCTACCTATCAAGGGAAATCATATAAACATAGATTAAAAGTTACACCAAAATTCATGATGGTGGTA